CCTCAGCCTCCCACAGGCGCGGGATTACAGGCTGAGCCACCGAGCCCGGCTCAAAGACAGCACTTCTAACGTTACAAAGAGGGAACTTTAAAAACCCGCCTGGGCAACTTGGCGAGACCTCATCTCTATAATAAATCAAAAATTAACCGGGCGTGGTAGCGCGCACCTGTATTTCCAGCTACTTGGAAAGCTGAGGCGGAAGGATCGCCAGAGCCCAGCAGGTCGAGGCTGGGGTGGCCGGGAGCAGCCACTGCACTTCAGTCTGGGCGACAGAGTGAGACTCCAACTCAAAAAAACAAAACAACAACAACAAAAACAAAATAAAAGTTCAAGTGATTCCTTTACATGGGGGCGGGAAGCGTCTTTTAATTTTGGTGGAAAGTGACATCTTCATTTTAAAATTAAACTTTGAAATTTTTGAATAAAAGCAGGCCTAGTTCCCAGATCAGAAAGGGTATGGCTGGAGGTTAATCAGTCCTTGAAAGAGCTCTGTGAAACTGGTGACCCGGACACCCTCAACACACATGGACAAGAAGGATCAAAATCCATGCTGACCCCATCACAGACAAGCGGACTTGGCTCCCAACCGGTCTGTGTCTGTCTCACACTGCAGCCCAGCCTCAGTCTCTCAGTGTTCGACTCTGTGTCCTCCTCACTGTGCCTGTGTCCATTTTTCTTTCTTCCTCTTTCTTCTATTTTTTTTCCTTTCTTTTTTCTTGCTGCTCTTTTTTTTCTACTTCATCTTACTTCTCTAACTGGCCATAATGTAGCTTAGAAATATACTCACTTTTGTTAAACTTATTTAAAATGTACGCGTTTCCCAATTTTAATTTTAAATATCATTGATTAGAACATACAATGGTTCTCTTCAAAAAAAATTTTCATTTGTTTTAAATTTGCATGTGGCCTTTGATCCTTGAGGCTTTTTTCCCCTATAAGGGCAGGGTTCACTCACAAAGAATAAAAATTATCCCTACCCCTGATTTCAATTAAGAAATTGCTGAAAATCAGTATAAAGCACAAAATATGGGAAATACTTTAGTTTTGTTTGGTCTCCACCTGGTGGTTGGAAATCAAAACATAAGCCCATAATGGAACTGGAAAAGATAATCATTTCAGGTCTTCTCTTTTGTATAAGAGAGCGAATTCTTTAATTAGAAAATGTTTTCAAACTAGCAAGGCATAACAATTTTTCTTTTTTGAGTCGGAATCTCACTCTGTCACCCAGGCTAGAGTGCAGTGGCACAATCACAACTCATCACAGCCTCCACCTCCTGGGCCCAGACAATTCTTCCACCTCAGCCTCCCAGCTAATTTTTTTATATACTGTAGTCAAGGTCTCACTATGTTGCCTAGACTGGTCTCAAACTCCTGGGCTCAAGCAATCCTCTTACCTCAGCCTCCTAAAATGCTAGGATTACAGGCATGAGCCACCATGCCCAACCAGGAAGGAAATAATTTTTATAAAAATTTTAAGATTGATTTACTCCAATCCTTATTTTGCTTCTTTGTAGTAACCAAGAATGGCAAAATCTTCTTAATATTCGAATTTAATTCTGACTTTTTTTGCGGGGGTGAGATCTCACTCTGCCACCCAAGATGGAGCTCTGTGACACAATCACAGCTCACTATAACCTCAGACTCCTGTGCTCAAGTGATCCTCCCACCTCAGCTTCCCAAGTAGCTGGGACTACTAGTGCATGCCACCATGCTCGGCTAATGCTTTTGTTTTTTGTAGAGATGGATGCCCAGGACAGTCTTGAACTCCAGAACTCAGGCGATTCTCTCACCTCAGCCCCCCAAAGTGCTGGGATTACAGACATGAGTCACTGTACCTGGCCTAGGATGGCTTTCCATCAGGATCTGACACTTTCCCAAATCTCTTATCTTCGTCCACCATGGCAAAAAGTTCCCCCCAAATGCATTCATAGTTTTTAATATAGATTCAAACTTTGGAACTGAAAACTACACAGTATTGTTAGTTCTACTGTTGTAAAATTCTTACTTTGTTAAAAACACAAACAAATGAACAAATAAAACCCATCAGGACTCATGGAAGACCATCACACTTGTAAGTTTATTGTGTCTTGAAAATCCAGTGCTAATTTCTCCCCTCGGTTCTTTATTCTTTTTCTGATACGCAGTATTTTTTTACTCTACAAATATGTTGAATGACAACTACCTTAAATATAAATCCTTATGATGCTTCTCTAGAACCTTCTCATAGAAACTTACAAGGTTCCTCCACATCACAATTATAATTATGTAATTAATTGCCTAATTACATTTCTTGTTATTCTCGGTAGTTATGTTCTATGTTGTTGCAAATACCAAAGTAGCAAACAATGAAACACTGTTGTTATGGGAAAACACAGGTTCTGTGAACCTCTGCTCACATTTTTGGCAACTTGTCAATACACAACCTTATTTTTGTGGTTGTTCTTTTTGTTGATTCAGTCTCATCCCATCGCCCAGGCTAGAGTGCAGTGGCACACGGTCACCCCATCGTCGACCCGCTGGACTCCGGCGATCCTTCCACCTCAGCCTTCCAGGTAGCTGGAAATACAGGCGCACACTACCACACCTGGCTAATTTTTTATTTATTGTAGAGACAAGGTCTCGCCAAGTTGCCTGGGCTGGTCTCGAACCTGCGGGCTCAGGAAATCCACTCGCTTCAGCCTCCCAAAGTGCTGGGATTACAGTCTGAGCCACCGAGCCCGGCATAACCTTTTTTTATGGGTGTTTCCCTTAAGGACATTTTATTTTGTTTGTTGATTGGTTGATGATTGATTGATTGAGTCAAGGTCTCACTCTTTCACCCAGGCTGGAGTGCAGTGGCATCATCACAGCTCACAGCAGCCTCTGACTCCTGGGCTCAGGTGATCCTTCCACCTCAGCCTCCCAAGTGGCTGGGACTACAGGTGCATGCCACCATGTCTGGCTAATTTTTAAAATTTTTTGTAGAGATGAGGTCTTGCTACATTGCCCAGGCTGGTCTTGAACTCCTAGCCTCAAGCGATCCTCCCACCTTAGCCTCCCAAAATGCTGAAATTACAGGCGTGATCCACTGTGTCCGGCCAAAGACATTTTATTTAATATATATTGTTAATGTATATTTTCTCTATGAAGCACATCAAAGTCTTCTCATGCTTAGGAAATACATTTGACTGGGTGGCTTGAACAACAGAAATGTATTTTCTCACAGTTCTGGAGGCTGTAAATCCAAGATCAAGGTGCTAGAAAATTTGGTTTCTGGTGAGGTCTCTGTCGCTGGTTTGCAGATGGCAGCCTTCTCTCTATTGGTCATACTGTAGAGAGAAGAAGAGAGATGGAGACAGGGAAGAGAGAGGGAGAGAGACAGCAGAGAAGAGAGGGAGGGACAGGCAAAGAGGGCTCTCTGGTGTCCCTTTTCCTATAGGGACACCAGTTCTATCAGATTAAGGCCCACCCTCAAGATCTCATTTAATTACCCTCTTAAAGGCCCTTTCTCCAAACAGAGCCACTTTCCTTTCTTTTGAATCCCCGTCAATCTTTAGTCAAACTAATAGACTAGTAGACTGGTCCACAGGCAACTTCACAAGTACAGACTCCACAAATCAGGAGGATTGACTTTGTTTGTTTGTTTGTTTGAGTCAGAGTCCCACTCTGTCACCTAGTCTAGAGTGCAGTGGCAGGCTCATGACCGCCACAGCCTTGACCTGCTGGGCTCAGGCGATCCTTCCACCTCAGCCTTCCAAGTAGCTGGAACTGCAGGCATACACCACTACGCCCGGTTATTTTTTATTTATTTATTTATTGTAGAGACGAGATCTGGCCAAGTTGCCCAGGCTTGTCATGAACCTGTGGGCTCAGGCAATCCTCTCATCTCCTCTTCCCAAAATGCTGAGATTACAGGAGTGAGCCACCGTGCCTGGCCTGACTATATTTCTTTAATGTCAGCCTCCCTGCCAAACTGTAAGCTACATAAGGACAGGAACCATGGAACTGTTTGTTCACCACTATTTCCTCCGAGTACACTGCATTGTCTCCAGTTAATACTCAAAAGACACCATGAATGAACAAATAAGTACAAGGCACCTTATATAGCTTTGTTTCATATAGCTTTTCTTGCCCACTCATTGTCTTGCTCTTTTAAATATACTAAGCTTCACAATTCTGATTTATTCATATTTTAATATTGCAGAGAAATTGGGATGAGTCACACAACCTGGTGGTATCTTGGGTTTGCTGTGATAGAGTTGTCACTGCGTGTGCATTTATGAGCTTGGCCATGACCATTCATATTATCTACACTTCTTTTTTTAAATTATTTTTTTATTTTTTAGAGTTAGGGGTCTTGCTATATTGCTTAGGCTGGTCTTAAACTCCTCTTGGCCTCCAGCGAGCCTCCCACCTCAGCCTCCCCAGTAACTGGAATTACAGGTACAAGACAATGCACCCCGCTTATATTATCTCCACTTCTGTGGAGCTATGTGCATTGTTCCTATTGGGTGTGTTAAGCTTAATCGCTTTTTAAAATGTCTTCAAAAATTTTATAGTATGAGGCCAGTTGCCGTGGCTCACACCTGTAATTTCAACAATTTGGGAAGCCCAAGTGGGAGAATCATTGAACCCAAGAGTTCAAGGCTGTGGTGAGCTATATCGTACCACTGTACTTCAGCCTGGGTGACAAACTGAGACCCTGATTCAAAAGAAAAAAAAATTGGGCTGAGCAAAGTGGCTCATGCTTATAATCCCAGCACTTTGGGAGGCTGAGGTAAGAGGATTGCCTGAGCCCACGGGTTTGAGACCAGTCTGGGCAAGTTGGTGAGACCTCATCTGTACAATAAATCAAAAAAAAAAAAAAACTGGGCATGGTAGCATATGCCTGCAGTTTCAGCTACCTAGAAGACTGAGGCAGAAGGATCGCCTGAGCCCAGTAGGTCGAGGCTGCAGTAGCCGTGAGCGTGCCACCGCACCCCAGCCTAGGCAACAGAGTAAGACTCCAACACACACAAAAAAATCCAAAAAAAAAAAAAGGTTTTACTTATAATTCAATATTGAAACAAAAAGTCAAGTATATAAAGAAAGCCCTAGTAACAAAGGGGGGAAATAAGTTTGATAATTTGCAAAGCAAATATTCATTGTTGGAGAAATTACTATAACTATGTTTTCTTGTAAAGCAATAAACAAGTACTTAACGAGACCCAGGATAAGAAGAGACCTGCTACTAGATGAAGAAGAATCACGTTTTTGTTAAAGAGATATACGTAAATGATTGCCTGTCACCTTGCTGCTCAAATATTGGTCCACAACCAGCAATGTTGGCATCACCTGGAGGCTTATTAGACATGTAGAATTTCAGGCCCATTCCAGACCTACTGAATCAGAATCTGCATTTTTAACAAGGCTCTCAGATGATTCATGTCCCCTGTCAAATGCGAGAAACACTGTCATGTCACATGCCACGTAAAGCACCTGAATGCCATTGGAGATCTTACCAAATCCCTCAGAATTGATGAAAGAATTGTCAAAGCAATGAGAGGTTGGTAACACCAATTATTGCATACAGATTACAGCCGAGACACTGTGTCATAGTTAATTGGCAGCATTCTCAGTGATACATAAAATACTAGTCCTTTCTACACTCATTGGCATCTGAGACTTGATGAAATGCAGTGGTATGAGTTCAAGATCTTTCTTCTGCTCTAAACTGTCATGGTCACAGGTGTGGAGACAACAAGAGCAGCTGGTCACAATATACAGTCATTTAAGCAGCAAATTCTCAATTCAATGTTTGCACTTTCAGCTCTTAGAAAAGTCCAGACTAAAACATCAGTGAAAAAGAGAGAGAGAGACAAAGGAACCATCTTTGGGGAGAAAAAAATAATAAACCACATCTTTGGGTGATCAAAATTCATGAAATAGATACTAGTTTGAAGATTGATGAAGGATTCAAAAGAAAGGTAAGTAGAAGAGAAAAATAAGCAAGAATACTTTTCATCTTGAGAGGTGAGTCTTCTTTAAATTTTTCAGTTAAAAATCTTTGTGATATTCTTCATTCCGATCTCCATTCAGGGACAATAGATGAACATTCATTGAATTCGGGGAAAATTTAACAATTGACTTAATATTAACAATATTGATTTTTTCTTAAACATTTATGAGTTTTTACAAGTTTATCCAAAAGCAAATGCAAGATGTATACAAACATACTAATTGCAAGCTCTCAACTACGTTATCTTGTATTATAGAGGTTGACTTATACCCATGGGCTCTGAAACTGACTACCAAGATTCATAACTCAGAGCCAACACTTACAGTGTGACTTTGAGAAAGATAATTAAACATCTCTGTGACTCAGTTTCCTCACTCGAACATAGGAAAAACAAAAGTTGCAGTATAGACAAAATGGCTAAAGCACTTTTTAAATTTTTATAGTATTTTGTTGTTTATAGTAAGTGACTAATAACTATGAAATGTGGTTCTTTCTGATATTAATAATATTACCTTTGGCATTAATTCTCTGAGTGTGGTCCCTAGACCAGCAGCATAGCATCGCCTGGAAAGTTGTTAGAAATGCAAATTCCCTGAGCCCAACCCAGAACTACTCAGTCAGAAAATCTGGGAGTCAGGCCTAGCAATAATCTATGTTTTAACCAGGCCTTCATGTGATTCTGATGTGGGCTAAAGTTTGAGAACAATAGCCCTTTGGTAATGGTGATCTAAAGTTTAGGTTCCTTGCTTCTACACTGTTAGTGAGAACGTAAGTTCAACCTTTGTGGAAAGCAGTGTGGCAATTTCCCAAAGAACCACAAATTGAGCTACCATACAATCCAGCAATCCCACTTCCGAGAATACACCCAGAGGAACATAAATTGCTCTACCAAAAAATACCTGCGCACATATATTCATTGCAGTACTATTCACAATGGCAAAAACATGGAACCAACCCAGATACCCACTGAAAGTGGACTGGATAAAGAAAATGTGGTACGTATACACGATGGAATACTATGTGGTCATAAAGAAGAACAAAATCATGTCCTTTGCAGCAACATGAATGTAGGAGGAGCCCATCACACTAAGTGAACTATCACAGAAACAAAAAGCTGAATACTACATGTTCTGACTCATAAGCAGGCCCTAAATACTAGGCACACAAGCACAAAGGTGAGAAAAACAGATGTTTGGCACTACTAGTGGGAAAAGGGGTACACAGCTACCCACTGGGTACTATGTCTACCACCAAAGGGAGAAAGAACTAGCTAGAAACTCAAACCTTACCTGTACACAATTTATTTATGTAGCAAATCCTCACATGTACCCCACAACTCTAAAATAAATCAATAAAATATAGTTTAGGCCAGGATCAGTGGTTTACACCTGTAATCCCAGCATTTTGGGAGACTGAGGCAAGAGGACTGGCTGTGCCCATGGATTTGAGACCAGCCTGGGAAACTTGTCGAGACCTCCTGTCTATAATAAATCAAAAAATTAGCCAGGTGTGGTGGCGTGCCTATAGTTTCAGCTGCTTCGAAGGCTGAGGTGGAAAGATCGCCTGAGCCCGGCAAGTCAAAAGCCTCCGTGACCGTGAGCATGCCACTGCTCTCCAGGCTGGGCAATAGAGTGAAACTCCAATTCAACAATAAATAAATAAAGTTTAGGTAGGTTCCTAATTCTTTGGCATTATGGAAGAGCCAGTAGAGGCACCTAGTCCATTTAGAATGTTGTGCAGGCCAACGCAGAAAGCTTGATGATACTGTACTTAAATTGGAATAAGCAAGGAATGGAAATGCAGGCTGTAGTAAGGACCAGGCTACATGAAGAGAGACTAAATGAACAGGAAACCAAGGAATCAGACAAAGTCCTTAAAATACAGGATGGTGATAATGGTAGCTAGAGGAGAGGCTTGGGAGACAATGTTCTAATAATGACATGTGAGTATACTGCCATGAAAACTCAGAGCAGGGAGGCAGCCGGGTGCGGTGGCTCAAACCTGTAATCCCAACACTTTGGGAGGCAGAGGTGAGGGGGTTGCCTGAGGTTAGGGGTTCAAGACCAGCCTGAGCAACATGGCAAGACCTCGTCTCTACAATAAATCAAAAAATTAGCCAGGCATAATGGCACATGCCTGTGGTTCCAGCTACTTGAAGGCTGAGTTGGAAGAATCACCTGAGCCCAATAGGTCGAGGCTGAGGTGGCTGCAAGTATGCCACTGCACTCCAGCCCGGGTGACAGAATGAGACTCCAACCCCTGCCCCTCCAAAAAAAAAAAAAACAGGGCGGCAAATGAACTGGAGAAAAGATGAAATGTTCAGAGATGTCAAGGCAGCTGAGTTGTGAAACACAACACTTTACCGGCATGCAGTAAGACACTGGGCCCTGGTCGGGGATGGTGGCTCAAGCCTGTAATCCCAGCACTTGGGGAAGCCAAGGCAAGAGGACTGCCTGAGTCTGCGGGTTTGAGACCAGCCCAGGTAACTTGGTGAGACATCATCTCTATAATAAATCAAAAAATTAGCTGGGCGTGGTAGCACATGCATGTGGTTCTGGCTACTTGGAAGGCTGAGGAGGAAAGATCGTCGGAGCCCAGCAGGTCGACGCTGGGGTGACTGTGACTGTGCCACTGCACTCCAACATGGGCAATGGAGTGAGACTCCAACTCAAAAAAAAAAAAAGACACTGGGCCGTACTGTGAATTTTGTTAAGTTATTCCTTAGGGACAGGTTCCTTTAAACTTCTAGGTTACTGATGATCAAGATATTGATTGACAATGTCTGAGTCTGTGGCTGACCACTGAGGCTGCTACATTTGTTACCTTTGGGGGTCACATTCCCTGCTGGAAATGTGGAGGCTGTTTTCTTGGTAGTGTGACCAGGGATGCCTAGGCATTGGCTGCCATTCTTTTGATGCATCGAATTTTTATTTGCTCCCCTTGGCAAGAGGTACCTTAATGCAACAAAGTCTGTTTGCTGAACTTTAGATGAAACTGAGGAACAGACTAGGAACTCGAAGCCATGCATCCCTATGTTATTTTTTCACTGTTTGTAGTCTTGGAGAAAATTTTGTTTTTAGCATGTTGATTTCACTAAAGGGAGTTGAAATGACACTGCCGACCCCTTGTCTCTCACCCCTTCCCACCAACACCAGGTTATGAATAACCCTGCCTGTCACCTTATCTCCTGTTAGATTGAGAGGTTTCATTGTCTTAGGCGGGACATTGAACTGAATAAAATATAAATACTCAGAGGACTTAATATGGTACTTGCTTGATCACATAGCATTTTACAAATATGTAGTATTACATAATATCTCAACTAGAAATAAATGGTAACTCTGATAAATGGCTATGTTTGATGCTGCCGTGTAACTCTTTGTTCTCAGCAGAATTATCCCAGACTAGCCAAGTGGTTCATATTTAACTAGACAGTAAGTACAAAAGAACTAGGGAACATACAAGCAGGGTAACACAAGTGATCAGAGGGTCATAACATGATGTACCAGGAGACACTTTCTTCTGAGACTGCATAACTGCTTAGGAAAAATACACAAATACCATGAAGTGGAACATGACTTTTTGTTTTGTTTTGTTTTGTTTTGAGTTGGAGTCTCACTCTGTAGCCCAGGTTGGACTACAGTGGCACACTCCTGGCCAGCCACCGCCACCTCAGTCTGCTGGGCTCGGGTGATCCTTCCGCCTCAGTCTTCCAAGTAACCAGAACTATAGGTGCGTGCTACCATGCCTGGCTAATTTTTTTATTTATTGTAGAGACAAGGTCTCGCCAAGTTGCATAGGCTGATCTGAAACCCGCGGGCTCAGGCAGTCCTCTCACCTCAGCTTCCCAAAGTGCTGGGATTATAGGCTTGGGCCACCGTGCCCAGCCAAAATTTTTTAAATTTACTTTTTCCTCAAATGAATGTTGTCCTCAAATCACAAAAGTTTTCCTTTTAGCAAAAGTTATTCAAAAACTCCAAAATGGAACCAACCTGTGTCCATCAATGAATAAATGAATAAACTAAATGTGGTATATACATACGATGGAATATTATGCTGCCATCAAATATGGTATATACACATAGTGGAATATTACTCAGTCCTAAAAAGTAAGGCAATTCTGACACATGCTCACAATTACAGGTGAACCTGAGAACATTATCTAAGTGAAATAAGCCTGTCACAAAAACACAAATATTATATTAATTCTACTTACATGAGGCACCAAAAGAAGTCAAATTCATAGAAACAGAAAGTAGAATGGTGGTTACCAGAGGCTAGAGAGAGAGGAGATGAAAAGAAAGTTGTTGTTTAATGGATACAGAGTTTCAATTTTGCAAGATGAAAAAATTCTGGAGATCTGTTTCATAACCATGTGGATATACTTAACCCTACCAAATGGTATCCTTAAAAGGATTATAATGGTGAATTCTGTGTTCTATTTTTTTTTTTTTTTTTGGAGTCAGAGTTTCACACTATTGTCCAGGCTGGAGTGCAGTAGCACACTCACAGCCACGGCAGCCTCAATCTGCTGAGCTCATGTGATCCTTCTGCCTCAGCCTTCCAAGTAACTGGAACTACAGGCATGCACCACCACACCCAGCTAATTTTTTAAAATCTATTGTAGAGATGAGGTCTCACCATGTTGCTCAGGCTGGTCTCGAACCCCTGAAGTCAGGTAATCCTCTCGCTCTACCTCCCAAAGTGCTGAGATTACAGATGTGAGCCACTGCGCTCGGCCTGCGTTCTATTTTTTGCTACACTTAAAAAAAATTAGCCTTCCTTTTTAAAATGGTTAAAATGGGATAAAACAGTTTAGTTGAGAGAGTGACATCAGCAAGGTGGCCTTCTAGAAGCCCCTAGTGCCTCTCCCCACCCACAAAGTCAGCCAAAACAACGAACAGACAACTGTATACTAATGAAAATAATTAAAGGATGGTTATTTGTCAAAGGAGCAACAGACACCCAGGTGAGCAAACTGAAGATAGCCACATAGAGAATGGAAGGAAACACAGGGACTCCCCCATCTCATGCCACAGCCTGGGTCAGCTGGAAACCAGGAGGAAATACTACAACGGAAAGGCAAGCAAGAGGATCCCAGAAACCCCTTGGACACTGGGATCCTCACCACTGGGGTCCCCTGCAGTCCTCACAGGCACTAAGCCCAGCTGAGGGAGCTGCCTGAAGTCTGCACAGCTGTGCCCCTCCCACACCCTAGAGAAGGAGGTGACGCTGTGTGCCACCCCTAGTGGCCCTCAGGGCTGCCGCCGCACTGCGGCCGTCTTGGAACTGGAACTAACACGGGAGTGTGTCCTGCCATCCTTCCATCCCCGAGACTAAGCCGCCAAGCCACCTTCACCTGGTGGCCTGACATCCCCCAGCGGAGCTTGAAGCAGCAGTCACACCCTTCCCCACGGGGCCAAGGCTGCAGTCCCTCCTGGGGAAGCGACACTGGCAGAACCACCTCTCCCGGTTGTGGCTGTGCCCCGCCCCTCGGACTGGAGCTGAGGTCGCACCCTTCCTCCTGGGGAAAGGGCGTCCTCCTGGAGCTGCCGCATCCACCCATCGCAGTCGCTGCCGCTGCGCCCCGCCCCTAGGAATGGAGCTAAAGCGGCGCACCACCTCCTGGGGAAACTGAGCTATCCCACCCACCTCCGGTAGTCCCGGCAGCGCCTGGCCTCTCCCGGTCACTGGTGCCTTGGCGGAGCTGTTCCCAAAACCCCTCCCAGTTGCGGCTGCCGTGCCAGCCACAGGACGCTGCCTCCCAGGGAAAGAGCGCTTTGATGGAGCCGCCCCATACGCCCCTCGCCCCTCCTCGTACTGCTGGCCCCCCGCGCTGGAGCTGACACAGCCATCCAGGGGAAACGCAGCCTTGGCCGCCCAGAACGGTCACACCTCCAAGTGCCTACGTTGAAGCAGTGCCCTGCCTCCCGAAAAAACGGTGCCTTGACCGCCCAGAACGGTCATGCACTCCAGTACCTAAGCTGAAATGGTGGCCAGCGTCCCAGGGGAATGGTGCCTGGCCATCCAGAACAGTCACGCACCCCCACCCTTGGGCTGCAGTGGCCCATCACCTCCGGAGAATCAGTGGCTTGGCTAAACAGGGCAGTTGTACACCCTGGGGCTGAGCTGATGTAATAGCCCAAATTCCAGGAAGATGGAGTGGCTGAGCTGAGAAACCCTGCTCTACAACCCAAAGAATTCAAGTACCCTGATTCCCTGGAAGTGGACTAGCCTCCTAGAGTCTAAGCTGCTGAGATACCCCCTTTCCCCAGGGAGTGAAGTCATTACTGTGTTGCTTCCTGCCCCCTAGTGCCCAAACCACAGCCCTGCTCCAACATTCTGGGGTAGTTGGCACCTCTGAAAAGTTTGGGGTCCTGCTGAGCCCCACCATTCCAGGGCCTAGAGTTACCACTACATGGTTCCTAATTCCCTGGCACCCAAGTTGCCACTGAGTCTTACTGGCTCAACTTTCCAAATTCTAGCCTACCCTGTTCCCTAGGTCCAAATCTCCAGAGCACCCTTCTTCCGAATCCTGGGCCCCCAGGAGTAGGATCACAGCTACTACCTGGCCCCTGGGCCTGAGCTGCCAGGGGATGCCCCAGAGTCACAGATCCTGGCTCTGTGGGCAACCTCCATTCAACCTGGCCACAGAGAGTGAATCTGCACCCCAAGACTCAGGGGCTAGAATAGGTTCATGAAACCCTGAGCCTAGGACCTTAGTCTCATGGTTGCTCTGAGCACCTGTACCTGGAACTCCACTATGGCTGTTTACAGGCCATGTCAGACTCGACACCCAGAAGAATCACTTTGACTACGTTTCCTCATTATGTCCCCGTGAAAATAGAAGGACCCCAAAAGCCCTTGCCATGGAGGTTATCAGCAACCTACACTCCTGGGTGCAGTGACTCACACCAGTAATTCCAGCACTTTCGGAGGCCAAGAGTTCAAGACAAGCCTGGGAAACATAGCAAGATCAAGTCTTTACAAAAAGTTTTAAAAATTAGCCAGGCGTGGTGGTGCACACCAGTATTCCTAGGTGCTTGAGTGGCTGAGACAGGAAGATCATTTGTGTCCAGAACATGAGACCCTGTCTTTAAAAACAAACAAGTAAATAAATGAATAAACAAAATAAAGTAATATACACCACCATGGTTACTGCAAGAAACTTCTACAACCTAGGCCACTGAGGTGCCCACAGTTATTGCCAATGTTGAACACATGTGAAGAAGCTGAACAGAGATTCTACCATTCGATGTACTAGGAAACAGAGTCATTATACCCTTCCCAATCAGCACATTAACACCCAACTACAGGTGAAACTCTTTGTTTACAAAGCCACTCTAGATAGTTTGGAAGAAGTGATTGTTCCACTAGATGCACAGACATCAATGCAGGGACACAAGAAACATGAAAAAGCAAGGAAACATGGCACTATCAAAGGAAAAGAACTCTGTAGTAACAAATCTCAGGGAAAAATGAAATCAACCCATTTGCAGAAAAAAAATTTTAAATAATAATCCTAAGGAAACTCAATAAGACACAAGAAAATACAAATTAAAATGTTCAACAAAATCAAGAAAACTATTCATAATATGAATGAGAAATTGAACAAAAAGAACCAAACAGAAATCTTGCAGCTATATAATTTAATGAATGAGATAAAAAATAAAATAGGTAGCATAAACAGCAGACTTAATCAAGCAGAAGAAAGAATATCTGAACTTGAAGATAGATCATTTGTAATTATCTTGTTAGAAATAAGATAGACAAGTGGGACCTCATCAAACTGACAAGCTTCTGCAAAGCAAAAGAAACCATCAAGAGAGTAGGGAGACAACCCACAGATTGGGAAAAAATATTTGCCAACTGTATATCTGACAAAAACCTAGCATCTAGGATCTATAAGGAACTCAAACATACCAAAAGGAAAAAGATAAATAGCCCCCATTAAAAAGTGGGCAAAAGACATGGCAGCCAACAGATACATGAAAAAATGCTTAGCCTCACTAATCATCAGAGAAATGCAAATCAAAACCACATTGAGATACCACCTTAACTCCAGTAAGAATGGCCATCATTAATAAAACAAACAACAACAGATGCTGGCAAGGATGCAGAGAAAAGGAAATGCTTCTACACTGCTGGTGGGAATGCAAACTAGTTCAACCTCTTTGAAAGACAGTGTGACGATTTCTGAAAGAACTAGAAATTGATCTTCCTTATGACCCAGCAATTCCCCTATTGGGAATATAACCAGAAGAACTCAAATCATTCTACAAAAAAGATACCTGCACACATATGTTTGCTGCAGCTCTAGTCACAATAGCAAAAACATGGAACCAACCATATTGCCCATCAGAACTGAACTGGATTTTTAAAAGTGTGGTGCAAATACACAATGGAATAGTATGCAGCCATAAAGAAGGACAAACATATGGACTTCACAGCACCTTGGATGAATTTAGAGTTGAACATACTCAGTGATCTGTCACAGAAACAAAAAACAGAGAACCATATGTTCTCACTCATAAGTGGACCTTGAACAATTATCATAACACTATAAGAAAGGGATTGGCAGTAGTGGGAAACTGCCCGGGGAGTGGGGGTAGGATTGGCAGTTGAGGGAAACTGCTAGGGGAGGGAGGAGCACACCTCATTAACAAGGGTACCTACATAATCAATATTTGTATACCTAACCCTGAATTGTATCCCACGTCTTTAAAATAAAAAATAAAATCTTTAAAGAGAAAAAAGAAAGGAATAAAAAACAGTGATGAAAATCTGCAAGACTTATGAAACACCATTAAATGAAGAAATATTTGTATGATGGGAATGACAGGAGAAAAGATAAAGGCATTAAAAAATCTATTTAATAAAATAATGGTCCATGAAGAGTTATATTCTTATTATTTAACTCAGCATTAAAAAATTAAAAATAAATAAATAATAAAAATAATAGCTGAAAATCTTCCAAGTCTTGGAAAAGATATGGCTATCTAGATCCAGGGAACTCAAAGGTTCCCAAACAGATTCAACCCAAAAAAACCCTCCCCAAGGCATATTATGGTAAAATTGTCAAAAGTTACAACAAAAAAAGTTCTAAAAAAATTTTTTAAAAAGTGACAAGTCACATATAAGGGAACCTCCATTTGACTAACAGCAGATTTCTGAGCAGAAACCTTACAGACCAGGAGAGAATAAGACAATATCGTCAAACTGCTAAAAGAAAAAAAATTTGTTGGCTA